TGCCAGGTGCAGGGTCTGCTGGCTGGGTGCTGGCAGGCTTGCACCTGGCACGGGCACCGTAGCCAGCCCGTGCCCCTTTAAGGGGTCCGGGGCCGGGAGGGGGGCAGAAGAGTTTCCCTGGTGTTGGCCAGAGTGGCCACCAGGGAAACCTGGGGAGGGCTAGCCTCCCACTAGTTCGAATTAAGGGGCTACACAGCCCTTAATTCGAACTAGCTAGTTCGAACTAGGCTTAATCCTCGTAAAATGAGGTTTTCCTAGTTCGAACTAAGTGCTCCGTTAGTTCTATTTAAATTCGAACTAACAGAGCGCTAGTGTGGCGCCTATGAAAGTTAGTTCGAACTAACGTCCGTTAGTTCGAACTAACTTTGTAGTGTAGACATACCCTAACTGAGTTTCAGAAATTAAATAATTTTCAGAAGAGCTCAGCACTTACAAATCTCAGCTCCCATTTAGGCACCAGAAAAAGTGGCCAGTTTTTCAAAGTAAGTGGACAGGATTATCAAGGAGCTCAATATGTTGGAGTTGGGATCTGTTGAAAAATCTGCTTATAAGTGTCAGAATAGGAGCTGCTATGTGCTCAGTTCTTTAGAAAAATCTACCTGAATTGAGGTGATAACCATTTGAAAATCTGGCCTTGAGTTATTTTGAAATTTAGCCTTACATTATTGACTTTATTTATGACTAAAGCCCTCTGACATGCAAGTTGTTCTTATCTACCAAACAATGTGCCCATCTAATCTGAAAGCAACTATGTAAAAATTGCACTTTTGCAAAGGATTTTCTTCCAATACATGTTAAGAATCAGATCTAACTAAAATACATTTTTACTCCTGTTGACTCCAATTAACATTGCAGTGTCAATGCAAGTCAGAAGGAGGGAACTGGATTTGATTCCCTCTTTATCAACACAACTGTTAACTAAAATTCAATCTGTAGGTGCTGTTTTGTATTTGCTCCTGCCACCCTGAAATTCTTTGGTTTGCTATCTTCAACAAGATTATTTCCTCCTAAGCAAACAGTCCTGGCAAATATTGGAGACAGGACAATGCACAACATAGACCCTAATTCTGTTTTGATATGTCAATTATCATGTTCTAAAAGCAATAATGTGTGCAACAGAGGTTGTCACTTGAGGCAGAATCTGAAATCAGTAGGGTTGCATTTGTATCACTGGAAGTTTAGTCTGAAGACAGTGGAATTTCACAGGTGCAGTTGAACTTTTTACTGCTGCTGATGGTTAATCAGATGGAAAAACAGTTCACCTAGGTCAGGGGTGGGCAAAACCCACTCACTGGGCTGAATTTGGCCTGCCTAGGGCTTTGATCCGTCCCACGTGGCTGTTCCAGGCTCCGTCCCCTAGTGTATTGCCTAGGAGCCAGAGCTGCATGAGCCCTTTCAACTGTTTCTATTTAAAGGGCTCGTGCCCTTCCCGCGGCTCACAAGTCTCAGTTCCCTGGCCTCTATCTAGCAGCACCAGAGCTGCGAGCCCTTTTAACTGCTTCGATTTAAAAGGCTTGCGCCTCCGGGTGGCTGCTTTGCTTGGCAGCCACAAGCCCGTTAAAGTGAAGCAACTGAAAGAACTCGCAGATCTGGCCCCATGCTAGCCCATTGCCTGGGAGCCAGGGACATGTGAACCCTTTCAACTGCTTCTATTTAAAGGGCTTGTGCCTTCCATCCCAGGCTCCACCCCTTTTGGATGAGGCCTCATCCCTGCTGGGGCAACCCGCGACCACTTCAAAAAATTTTGAAGTGTCCCCTGCTCAAAAATTATTGCACACCCCTGACCTTGGTTGTCCAAGCCATGGTTGAACAGCAAGACTGGCATACAGTGGAGAGAAAAAAAGTAACTTTTTACTTAACGAACTGGGAACATTTGTGATGGAAGTAACTGATACACATTTATCATGGAATCTCATACAGATTGCAGAAAACTCTCATGACAAAAAGCTACAGAACCTACTTAAGAGTGACATTTCAGAGTAAAAGTGTACTTCAAATGTTCTGAAGAGTAAATTCATGTCCAAGTCACATTGAATGTTTTTTAACACACACAAAGCATTTGTGCTTTACCTCTGAGCTCTCCAGGAAGCATCACACACAGAGAAATACTCGCTTTTAATCAGATTGATTCTATTCACAACAAACCACTCAATCAAAACATTGTATCACCTAATTCCATGGTAAGAGCCAATTACGGAATGCTTTCTCTAATGCTCCCAAGCACATTCTCTCTCACATTTATTTTCACCTTGATGAGCTCTGGAATCACAACAATCCTGAAGAAAAAAAAGGATGAATGATGCAATGGAGGCAGGAGGTAGACATGTAATCACCTGGAAAAAGTTGTGTAGCCATATTAAAGAAAATAAAATATTGTTGTCTTAATTCTGGCCAGTCTCATAAAACAGTTTCCACATCCCCATATCTATAGTCTCCAGGAAAGCACTTATGATATTAAAGGAAGATCCCTGTGATGTTCCACAAATTTCCTGGGTTATGTGAGAAATGTGTTTATTGGACTACTGATTATATATGTGATATCTTTTCTTTTCATTCAGAAAAAGGGGGATTACAATTATATCCTAGATTAGCATGTGTCACTGAATTAGCCAGTGTCTGATTTCTTCTGTAAGCAGAGCAGTAGAAATCCTGGCTCAATAAGTGCACTTAAATTTATATAAGAGCCAACAAATAGGAGGAGAGAAAAATCTCTAGATGTCTAAAAGAAAATGGCTGCCATGCCAACGAACATTCTAAAGTCACTGCGAAACATTTCCTACTTTCCTTCCAATGATGCATCTTATGCTTATGAAAGTATTCTGGTCATATGAACGATTCCCCATCTCCTTCTGACACTATTATATTTTTCTATTATTGTACAGTGCCGAGGGACATGAAGAAGGTGGAGAGCTGGATTTTAGTGCCTTATTAAAAAAGAGGTGAGTTTAAGTCTGCAGCAATATACTAACAAACTCTTGAAGAAAACTCCTGGAAGGCATTAAACTTGAAGCAAGTTAAAGTTCCACCAATTCATAATTCCCTTAGGGTACATCTACATAGCAGGGCTAAAGTTGGAATAAGTGGCACAATTTCAGCTATGTCAATTGCGTAGCTGAAGTCAAAATAGCTTAATTCTGCTTTTGGTGCTGTCTACACAGCAGGGAGTTAAAGGAAGAACACTCTTCCTCTGACTTCCCTTACTCCTTGCAAAATGAGGTTTCCATGAGGACAGCAACAGCTGCCTTTGGGACGTAGTGTTTGTCTGCAGCTTTCTAATCTTCTGAGCTGTCACAGGGATTGCAAAGTTGGGGAAATCAAAAGTCTGTTTATAACAATTGTGATTTTTTCCAAAATTCTGATTCTTCTTCCTGGCTTCCCTTTTCTCCTCCTCCCCCACTTTTTGTTTTATGGCATCTCATCCCTCCTTGCCTTCACCTGATCTGACTACCTGTGCTTCACTCTTTTAACTTGCCATCTCATTCTGGACACACTGCTTTGGATTCTGTCATCTAAAACAGAGAGTAAGATTTCTATTTCATCTCGCTATAAAATGCATGAGACGAATGGAATAAAAAGTACATGTGGTTTGAGTAATACATGTGACTCCCCTCGTCTCACATGTAGAGCTCATCAAATTCCCTAAACCCTGACAACATGGTGGAGGGTATCACCTGCTGATTTTCAGTGCTGAAATCCATTTAAATGATTAGTGCCGTTGGAAGTAATAAAGGGGGAGATTCAGTCCATGTTCTCTCCTAAACTTCCTGTCTGTTTCAAAAAGCACTTTTAATTTAGGCTTCTGTTTCCAGATTCTTTTAATAGTCCAAAATTTCAGTTCTTCTCTATTCTTAATTCATTTGCACAGAAATTAGAGATGGAAAAGACTTCTCTGATCACAATTAGTCCATTCAGCTAATTTAGAAGTCAGTTCAAGATTGTTCCCCACAAACTATATTTCATGTTTTGTTCAGTATACTCATACATTCAAATGATGGAGCTTCCACCATGTTCCATAGGAAAATGTTTCATATTCTGATAGATCTGACTATTATAAAATGTTCTCTTGCTTTACAACTAGTTTCCTTTGCTCATCGTCATGTTATTTCTGCTAAATATATTCCTTAGGATCATCACACACTATTCCTCTCTCTCAGTATTTAAAAATCTTCAAATTTGACAGATGTTCCTGAGTTGCTTTTTTTGCCAAGTTGTACATGGTTTATTCTTTCAAGTTTTCCTCAATGCACTATTTAGCCAACTTTCTGTTGTTCTTGATTTCTGGGCTCAGTCTCTGCTCATGTGTTTGGAGCTCAATCTATAAGAGAATGAAACTGTGTTTATGGCATCCTCAAGCATAGGCTGTATATGTGGCATATTTGGGGTGCTGGAATCCTCTCTTCTCTGGCCCCTGAACCATACTGGGTCATGGAGCTTCTTCCCACCCTGTCCCTCAGTCCTGAGGACTCCAGACTCTGTCTCTACCGCCCCATCACCAGAGAGCCTAGAGCCACGTGGCTGGATGATCACTGGTGGCCCCTGCCATCCAGAGAATCCTTCCCTGGACCCTGCCTGCATACCTGCCTGCATCACTTGATTTACGGCAAGAGTCTGGCCGAGGCCAGGACGAGTGAAACTTTCACAAACGAGTGTGAGGCGGGGAGGGGAGCCAGGCCTAGCAAATAGTCTCTCTCACAAAGACTGGCTCTCACACCCACATACACTCTTCCTCTCACGAGACAGTGTCACGCATCTCTCTCTCTCTCTCTCTCTCTCTCTCTCTCTCTCACAGACACGCACACTATCTCAAACTCAAGCATGTGCAACCAGTCGTGTTATTATTGTTGTTATTAGTGCTTCGTACTTCCTATCAGAATGCAGGTGGTGAGCCAGGAGTGGATAGGGGGCTGCAGGAGGGCTGTGGTCTCTGGCAAGATGCAGCCCCATGTGACAACACAAGGCCAGACTTGAGGCATTGCCCCAGCATCTACTGCATACAAAGCTTGGTGTGTGTCAGCAATGGGACGGGTTCTGAGGGTCTATGGGTGCAGGGGAGGGGTAGTTGTGCCCCTCTGACACACTAGGGTGAGAGGTGCCAGCTGGGGATTGCTGCCAGTGGAGCATAAGGGCACTTTAATAATCCTGCATACGGACCCATTAATCCTGCATATGGCCCCATTAAGGACAACCCTGTTAGTGATCACTGATGTAGATTAAGAGCCAGTAGAGATCAAGTAGCAGAATGCTCAGGGTTATAGGACTGAACTTGTTGACTTTACATTTCTGCCTCATGGGCCCCTTTTATTTTCAGATATACCACATACTACTGTGCCAACTAGATAGGGACTCTGCCATCACACAGGGAGAGCCTGCTGAGAGAGTCTGGAACTACAGAAATTGAACTATCTAATGCCATTATCTCTATACCAGTTGTTTCTCATCTTGTGGGCCTTGATGATCCCCAGAGGGGTCAGATAACACAATCATGGAGGGAACAAGACATTGAAAATGTAATTACAATTCTAAAGCAAAGACAATAAAAGTTCCAGAGTAACTTCAGAGTGGCCAAAGCCTTCAGAGTTTGAGAGGTCAAATGCAGTACCTTTGGTAGGAGTAGAATGGATTTTTAACTATTTCTTTAGAATAAATTGAGTCGTAAGGATTTTTACTTCAAATAAGGGGTTGACAAACATTGCTCTGAGTCTGTACCATTCCCTAAATTGATGCCAGCTGGGAGAAGAGGGAAGCGCAAGAGTTAAGAACACTTCCAAAGGAGCTTTCCTTCTGCCTTCATGGTCAATTTTAGTGATTAGCAAGTAGAGAGAAATTAAAAAAAAAAGAGAATAACCTCCAGTACTTTCATGATTTTTGGCCCACTGAGTTAGTTCTCATTAATAGTATACTAAAAACCATGACTCCAGAAATGACACTTTTAAACTATCACTGCATTTTTACTCCACATTAATGACTCCTGAAAGGCACCAAACCCTCTTCATGGAGTGACTATGTGCTTCATTGAAAACACAACTGGAGAAATAAATATGTTGAAGAACCATCAAGAGCTGCAAAGACAGAATGCAGGAATGATACCTCTGCCATCACTTACTACTTCCGTTCCATCCTACCCATCATCAAGTGCTATTCTTTCCAGATAGTGCACATGTTCACTATTGTAGAGAAAACTGCATTTAATATTGTGCAGGAGTTGTATTTTCTGGCCTCTATAATTTAATTGACTGGTATTGACATTCAGGTATCATAGGCTATAAAGAGGTCATGGGAAAGGGGAAGGGAACAGTTGTCACAGTACTATTAAATAGGATAGTGAAAAGACCTTGAAAGAAGTAACAGCTGACAGGGTCCAAGCAATCTAGGGTAACAGGATAGGAAGGAACCATCTCTGGGATCTACAAAACTATTTTTAATATCCTCATACATGTTTAAAAAATATCAGCTGCCTGTTCTGTTTACAACAGGTTCAATGAGCTTCACCTTAATGTCCCCAAGTGCACTGTCAATCTATGCAGCTAAAATCCTGAACTTCAGGGAGAATACCTTTAGCGCAGGAGACACCTGAGGAAGCTAGTGTCACCACATTAACAGCATTCTCTTCCCTGAAATTCTTAGGCTGTGAGGGTATTATTCTGGCTTGGTGAGAAAAGTCAGTCAACCTCTGTGAATACTATACTGGAACTAAGAGAATGTTTTAATGAAGTTGAAGTGGGTCAGGGAGCATTAGAAATGGGGAAAAATGAAGCCCAGATCTTATTGTAGGAGACAGGCACATGAATTTTGAACAGTCATAAATAGAAATTTCCTTCTTCTTAGTGCTTGATTCTACACTATTTAAATGGTGATTCTTAGCTGTAAAATATCTTTATTATGTACTGGCAATTTATAAGCCAGTCCATGGCTTTGAAAGTTAGAAAACATTTCCTGTGAACAAACAGGTGATGAGATGGCAATATTACAGCATTATATATAGCTTAGGTACACAATGACTGAAGTGGATAATTCTCTATAATTATAAAGAGATATACATTCCAGGAATGGAGAGAGGTTGTTTCAGGTGCTCCAACTGAATATAGCTACAAATAATGGGTTAAAACTGAGCAAGGAAAATTTAAGTTGAATATGAGGGAAAACATCTTGGCACTGAGATTTAGGTAGTTAGAGAACAATCTTCAAAGTGGAAGATTTATCTCAAAATGCTTTAAAAATAACCAAGACAAAGTATTTAAACACAGTGTGAACAATCCTACCTTACATATTCAGGTGGATAGTTCATACAGGTTAGCTAGAGACAGAGGAGACTAGATTTGATATAATAGTTTCTGTCTATACCTATGATTCTATACTTATTTTTGAACCACTGTTTCCTCAACAGAGCATAATTACTCCAATGCAGATCTCACATGTATAATTAGGAAATATGTATTTAGACAGTATTATAAAAGTTGGTTGTTCACATTATCAAGCAAAAGCTAGCCCAGAGTGGTTGGTATGTTGAAAGATCTTACACTATGGCTACGTCTACAGTGCTGGTTTTGCCAGCAGTGAATATGCAAATGAGGTGCAGATTAGCATGCTTCCATGTCTCATTTGCATAATTTATGCAAGCCATTTTTGCACAAAGGGTTTTTGTGGGGAAAAAAAGTAGCGTGGATGTTTTCTTTTTGCGCAAAAACCCCTTTTCCCGCCAGATCCTTATGTCCCCAAAAAGGAGGTTTATTGATCTGTTTATTGCAAGGCTAAATACAAATCATTTAACCAAAACAAAGAAACCTGTGGGGACCTGTAGTGGAGAAGGAGCTGGCTGAGTTTCTGGAGGATGCAGACATGCTCTAGTGAAAATGCACCTCCACTGTGGCCTGTACTTGTGGCCTAAGGTCCAACCAGTCAATCCTGGGAATAAAGGATGATAAACCACCTTAAACAGTAATTCTCTAAGGATATGTCTACACAGCAAAGTTACTTCGAAATAACAGCCGTTATTTTGAAATAACTTTACTAACATCTACACAGCCAAACTGCTATTTTGAAATTAATTTGAAATAGCGGAGCACTTATTTCAAATTCGGTAAACCTCAGTCAGAGATCTTCTGCAAAAACTTCTTGCACAAAAGTATGTCTAGACCTCAAAGCTTGTGTGCAAGAGAACGTCCACACTGCATGGATGCTCTTGCGCAAGAAAGCTCTGATGGGCATTCACAGAATGTTCCTTCTATGTACATCCATAGTATATTGAATAAATGAACAGAAAATTACAGAGTCCTCAAAAGATTCAGAAGGGTAGCTGTGTTAGTTTGTAACTGAAAAAAATATTTTAAAAAAGTGAATAGTCCTGCAGCACCCTAGAGAGTAACAAAAAATGTAGATGGTACAATGATTTTGTTAGTCTCTGAGGTGCTGCAGGACTATTCGCTGTGTTTTAACAGTCCTCAACATTTCCTTCACTGCCTGCTACATAGCTTGGTGTGTGATGGAGGGGTCAGAGAGCATTAGAAATGGGGAAAAATAAAGACCAGATCTTACTGTAGGAGACAGGCACATGAATTCTGAATGGTCATAAATATCAGAATATCACCTTCACCTACAGGTATCAGAGGGGTAGCCGTGTTAGTCTATAAGGTGCCACAGAACTCCTCGTCGCTTTCACCTACAGGGAGTTCTAAAAGGTCCTGGTTTTCCCTCCAGTGATCTGGAATCTGCATGTTTTGTCTTACCACCCTCATCCTTCAGAGGAATTCACCTAACCTTAACCCTATCTCTTGTGAGAAATCCATTGAAAGACATGACAGATTAAAGGTCTATTTTTGGAATCAGGATAGTGATGTGAATAGCCCCACTTTGCCCTCTTCCAATAGCAGGAATTAATTATGGTGTGTACATCTGCAATATAAAATTGCAAGTTGGAACTCCAGAGTGTGGGAATTAAGCTGATATCACTAGAAAAAATGCATTCTTCCTTAAGTATATTTACGTGCAATATATCCTTAATCTCCTTGCTGCTGAAATGCAGGTGTTTTCTGCTAATGTTTGAGATAATGATGGCTCTGTTGTACTAACACGTTGCCCTTTTTCCTGCCATGGGGATACCACTTGTTTTTCTAAATACTTCTCTGCAACGCTCTCGAGTCCAGCAGCTTCTTGCGTTCAGTAAATCGGTAAGTTTTTAATCAATCTTCAAATAATATGTAATATGATAGGAACATAATGTTTTTCATACAGCAGATCATCCTGCTAGTCATTTGAGTACTACTATACCATAAGTTAACTCTCCTCTACTCACCAGCTCTTTGGGTAATCCATAAACTGAGTGATCCATTGTTAATACTATCTTGCTAGCCAGAACCTGCCAATCTAAGTGTCTTTCAACTCTAAGAACTGATTATAGATAACCCTTCCCATGACAAAACCTGATCTTCACTTTTAAGATGAACCAGGCCTCACTTTAATAGAGAGAGAAAAAATCATGGGAGACAAGGACTCATCTCTAAGGGTATGTCTACACTACCCCGCTAGTGCGAACTAGCGGGGTAATGTATGCACACCGAACGTGCAAACGAAGCCCGGGATTTGAATTTCCCGGGCTTTATTTGCATAAGCCAGCCGGAACGAGGTGTACAGATAGTTCGGAATGGCTTGCTAGTCCGAACTATCTAGCCCGTGCCGCGTGTAGCCGCGCGGCACGGGGTTCGAACAAGCCGGCATTTAAAAATGGCGCCGGCCGGCTTATGCAAATAAAGCCCGGGAAATTCAAATCCCGGGCTTCATTTGCACGTTCGGTATGCATACATTACCCCGCTAGTTCGCACTAGCGGGGTAGTGTAGACATACCCACATAGACATGATCTTGGGATTCTCAAGATTTGGGCTCTTCCATAGATTTCATAGGTGATTTTAGGAAAGTCATCTCTGTTCTTCAGTTCCCTATCTTTAAAATGGGGTTAATACTTTGTCTTGCCTAAACAGACTGTAAGCTCTTCAGGGCAAGGACTTTTTCTTAATATGCATATGTACAACATCTACCACACTTAGGCCCTGATTTTGTTTAAGGTCTCTAATCATTACTGTATAATAATAAAGCAAGATTGCTGATATTTAATGCAGGACTGGTATCTCTTAAGCAATGCATAGATTGCCAAGATTAAGGCTTCTTTTGAAGTTCTTTCTAATGTGTCATTCTAATGTTCTACTCCTATCCTGGCAAAAGTGAACCAAAAACTGAATCACAACCTGAAGTTGATGTCTGGGACATTCTGCGGAGAGCTCCTCCTTCTGAGTATGAGAAAATTGCTTTCCAGTACGGTATCACAGACCTACGAGGGATGCTGAAACGCCTCAAACGCATAAAAAAGGAGGAGAAGAAGAGTACAGGTTGGAGAGCTCTAGTTCTTCCTAAAATATCTGTTCTTATCTTATTGGTCGTGGGTGTTTCCAATAGCAACATTAATTGACACAGGTGAATGGGGGAGAGGCACATGATTTAACTAATTCTTCCAACTTTCCCTATGGTCTTTAGAACTTGAGATACCTGTTCCCAAAGATCAGACCTTTAGTAAGTATTCTGAACTATCTCACTATGACTCTTGCAAATTTCATACCTTCTTCATTTTGCTATATTTCTCCTGGTATTATGATAACATTATGTTCTGTGCCTTACCCAGAAATGGTTTCTTTAAACAGGAGTGATCAATTTTGTTTTCTTTGGAAAGCAAGGGCTTCTCAACTATACCTCAAGATACCACTGTCTGGTCTGGTCTGATCTCCTGGGTCTTGTTTAGACTAGGATTTTAAAGTGGGATATTAGGACATGTTAGACTTTTTAAAAGTCTAGCATACACAAGGCTCATTGCCTTTAATATGTTATCAAGGAAAAGCCTAGTGGGAAATTTTAGCACATGTTGAGTAAAAGCCTAACTGGTTTAAATTACACACTGCCTTATCTATACTAGATTTAGAACACACTAGTTAGTATGTTAACTAATATCAGCTTAGTCTGAATCAAATCACAAAATCATAGAAAAGGATGGAGAATGAAGCATAAGGCATTTGGGAAAGACAAATAGCAGGTGAGAAGATACAAAAAGAACAGATCAAGGATTAAGAAGGTAAATCAATAGGAAAGGTAATTAGAAACCTCTTTTCCTTCCCTCCAGATCAGGCTGCAAAGTAAGGAAACATGGCAAAGAAAAATTACTAAAATCTTTTTGTAACTATTCTTTATCACAGCATTCCTCAAGAAACTGGATCCTGCTTACCAAGTTGACAAAGGACAGAAGATCAAGCTAATGGTTGAGCTTGCCAACCCAGATTCTGAAGTGAAATGGCTGAAGAATGGACAGGAGATCCAAGTGAGCGGCAGGTAAATTAGAAAGGAAACTGGAAGTGGCAACCCATGCCTGCAGTAGCAGAGGGGGCAGAATGAAGGCATTGACTTCAGCAATTAAAATCTAGGAAGGCATTTGGCCCATTTAGGGGAGCCTGTGACCCCACATGCCCATATCCCCCAACACATCATCTATGGAGGCTGGAAAATCCAGCCTGTAAAGTGTTACCACCTGAAACAATAGTAAATACCAAGCCATCTTCAGGAAGTATAGACAAAGAAAAAAGGGGGAATATCAGAAGGGAAAGATGAAGTCTATATGTGTATGTCATTGTGTGTGCCAAGCCAGTTAACATATGAAATGACATTCAATTCACAGTTCTCATCACTGTCTCTTTCTCCCCTGTCCTGTACTCTCACTCTCTGCACATGGAATTGAACATTGCCATCTGCCCACTTAGCAAGTAAGTGGTCAGGTTATATTTTGCTGTTTCTGAATGTATTTAAGATCTAGTGAAATTGTCCTTCTTGTTCTATGGGACCTATTTAGATGTAGCAGGGCATCAGTAACAACTGAAGAGTCTTTGTCCTGAAGTCTGTTCTGTAGCTCCACTTATGTCCCAAATCAGGCATATATGAGGCTACATGGTAGAACACTAGTACTGGATCGCATTCTAGCAGCTATTAAGAAGAAGGGCAGTATTCTTGTGAGACAGCCCTCACTCAAGATTGGTTGGGGAGCACTGCCCAATGATGCACTTGGGAAGAGTTGTTGATGGAGGAGGAGGACCTAGACTCCACTTTCAGGATCCAACCCAGAGTTCTTTGAGGGCAATCAGTGATTGGATAGCTGGTGATGTGTAAGGCAGCCCTCCTTGGGCCACTTCCCATTGCCTCCTTGCAACTGTCCTAAAGTTATCATTGGAGTAACGTAGCATGAGGGTCAACTGCTCACCTCAGAGCACCTCCCGGCACCAGCATATGTCAAGGTTTTTCTTTCCTCTCAGGCAGAAATGGCCTTCTTCTGTGGTATGGCACAACTGAGCCAGCACATTCTAAGGGCTCTCCCCTGCTAGGGTAATCCAAATGCAAATAAAGTGGATCAATCAAGTCCAGAATTCAAATGAGGGGGAGTGCTTTCCTCTCAGGCTGTCTCTGCAGCAAGCCCTCCCTACCCTCAGGAAGAGACCTTTGGGCAGTTGTTTAGAAACTTGCCAGTAAAAGGTCTGATTTCTTCTTTGATCTGCCACCAAATGAGCTGCTCCCCTGCCTTTCTACTACACCTCTAAATGGTGCATTTGCTACAAATGCAGCAGGGTGGGGCTGTATGAGCTCAGAATGGATCCTTATCCCCTTGCTACTCAGTGTGAGTGCTGAATACCCCATTACACCATATCCGTTGGTATAAATATTTCTCTGTACCCCCTTATCTCTCACTAGTATTCTAGAAGCAGATAGCTCTCAGTCTTCCCCTCCTCTTTGCCAGAACAGGATGCCTGGTCCAAAGTCCTTCTCACTCCTCTCACCCAGCCTTCCCTCATGCACTAGGACAGGGTGGATAGCTCTAAGGTACAGATGTAAAGATAATCATACTTAGATTCTCTTTGCATTTCTTCAGATACATTTTTGAGGCTGTTGGGAATAAGAGGATCCTGACTATCAATCACTGCTCTCTAGCAGATGATGCAGCATATCAGTGTGTGGTTGATGAGGAGAAAAGCTTTACAGAATTATTTGTAAAAGGTGAGTAACTGCCAGCAAGAGAAGCAGATCCAATTTAACACTCTCTATATTGTCGTGTCTTGTTCCTCTATTCTGAAACTAGTTAATCTCACAGAAAAGGATGCTCTTAAAAATAGAAACATTCTATTATTTACTGAACAAGACATTTTTCCTCACAGCTAAATGAAAACAATAATCTGTGCAGCAGCCAATTACAAGCTACCAGGACACCTCAGTGCATCGTAAAAGGGAGACAAAACAAATGTTATGACATATCAGATATAACCATATCTTCCTGCAGAAAATAGGGGTTAATTCTGGTCATAACTACTTAGGGCCAGATGCACACCATGAGCCCTTTCTATCTGCGACTATTGCTGCATTAACATTCATTCAGTCTTTTAAAAACAAAATTACAGACCCAACCCCCTCCCTAACCCACCTGCAAAAATGTGCAACAATTAAATAATCAATGTTGAAATTGCAGTTGTTATCTTTATATTTTATTGTTAACATTCCAATGAGTCTAGTGGTGGGGAGGTTATACTTGGTTCACATTTAGAAGGGTGTATTTGCAACAAAGAGGGCTAGACATTTATAAATAAAGCTTGGATTGTGCATAAACTAAATGTTACACCGGCTGCACAAATATGTCAAATGGGCTAATGTTTAACAACCCTGAATTAGGTTTATGAAGATTATAAGTAAAAAATGATTAAATCCCTCCTTTATACTATGTCTCATAATGTAATATCAGATCAAATTAACGGTGTGAACTGGCCCAGTAAATAGTATGCTCCCATGCAGTGTGCACTGGAGGGTGCTTTGGGATGGATGAGATTAGTTCACCGTTCCCTATTATAGAAGAAGGTATGTCTTACTTCATATCCTTTCTCCTTTTCTCCACTCTATTGATAGTGAAGTGATAGGGATCTTAGTACTCTTTGTGTTCCATCCACTAGACCGTGTTTAAAGCAAATTTGTTCATTTTCAGAGCCTCCAATTCTGATCAGTCACCCACTGGAGGACCAGGTGGTGATGGTTGGGGAGAGAGTGGAGTTTGAGTGTGAAGTGTCTGAGGAAGGCGCTGCTGTGAAATGGTAAGGGGAACGTAAGAAAGAAAACATCACCTGGTGCACCTTTGTCTTTGGGGCACTCTAGGGCTGACACCACTAGTGTGGTTATACTGTCAAGGTCTCTAACAAAAAGAAATTCTATTAAATTATCTAATGGGGTCCACAAGATGAGCCACTGGGATCTGTCCATGAAGCAATTAGGAGAGGGATAGGGTAGAACCCCAAAGCCACATGCCTTCAAGGTGAGAAAGAGAGGGACTGAGTTTAAAGTTAATCCAAACTAAGTCCTCCTCATGGAATGAGGTATAACAGTTAATCCGAACTAAGGACTTAGTTCGGATTAACTTTAAACTGTCGCATGTAGCTGCGGGCAGTTCATTCGAACTAAGAGGATTTAAAAATGGCGTCTGGGTGGGAACATGCAAATAAAGCCCGGGATATTTAAATCCCAGGCTTCATTTGCAACTCCGGTTGCCTGATTTGCCTACCTAGCTCGAATTAATGAGCTAGTGTAGACATATACAAATAGAGGTACCAGAACAGACCATAACATGATATAACAACAAATGTATGGAATACTTTATCCGGAACTTCTTGCTCTATAGTTCCAGCGCTCTATCAATATACTTGTTTTGGCGTTTTCTGTAATACCTATTACTTTAGGGTCTAAATGTTGCACAGGTTCACTAGATCTACATAGCAACTCCCTAATGGAATCTTCTGCATGGATTCAATTAAATCTTCTTCTCTTCTTGCTAGATGGGTTTAGAAGTCTCAGTGCCAGTGGCTGGAATGCTTCTCCTCCTCTAAACCAATGCTCATAAATTGTGGCTCGGGAACCCAAAGTGTGTTATAATCCCATTTTAATCGGTTCACCAGGGCTGATTCCCAAGCCCCACCACCCGTGGCCAAAGCCAAAGCTTGAGGGCTTCAGCCATGGGTTGTGGGTATAGGTAGGGCTGGGTGAGGCAAGCCCCCAGTGCTCCCTTCTGCCCAGGCCCTGACCTCCAGGAGCCAAGCTGTCCCCCCATAGCACCACAGGGAGGGGAGCGGCACGCGGCCTCAGCCTCCCCACCCTGGGGCATGGGCAGGGAGGAGAGTACATAGCCCCAGCCTCCTTGGGTGGTATGTGGCTTAGCTTCCCCGATCCCGAGCACAGGAAAGGCGGGGTGGGCAGCAACAATCTGCCCCCATATGCTTCCAGTAGGTGTTCTGGGGGTATAGTGTGGGCAGGGCCAGGCTGGAGGTTTGGGAAGGCAACGCCTTCCCTCACCTAGCATACTCACTGCCCATAGCTTCAGTCCTTGGCAGCAGGGCTCAGGTTATAGTCCACCTGCATGGGGCTGAAGCCCATGGGCTTCAACTTTAGTCCTCTTGCCCTGATGGAGCCTGGGTTTTGCTTTCTCCCATCTGAAGCAGTAGAGCATAGGTTGGGCTTAAACATGACCCTCCCCCCCCCTTTAGGGTCGTGTTGTCATTTTTGTTGTCAGAAGGGGGTCAATTGCAACAAAGTTTGAGAATCCCGGTTCTAAACCCTCTCCTATCTGACTTTCATCCCCTCTTCAAAGTACTTCAAAGTAGGAATAAGAGATCCTCCAGAAAAGGGTTTTTTTCTGGAGGATCGGGGCCAGTGTAGACACTCTTTTCCGGCTTTTCTAAAAGCCGGAAAAAAGCGGCGGACATTTTTATTTAAATGCCGCGGGGGATATTTAAATCCCCCGCGGATTTCCCTATTACGACCTGGAAAATTAGCATGCCCCTTTCGGAAAAGGGGCCAATGTAGACGAGCCCACCGGGAAAAGTCCAAATGAATTCCCCTCTTCATATAAATCCCTTTTAAAATCTCTCTGTGATGTCCACAAGTCGTCAGTTAATAATAATAACAATAACAACAATTAAAATGAATCTTAATCAATTTCTTCTTCTGGATTTTCCACTGAGTTCTGTCTTCTCTTGTCTACTGTCTTCAGTCTTTTAGACAGTAAGCTCATTGCGGGGCAAGGACTGTATTAATCATTGCGTCTTGTACAACACTGAATATACTGTCAGAGTAAGCATATACCAAAAACAATAATGAACCATCTTGTATTAGGAATGAGAATGTCAGTGAAAATTAACTGTCAGCAAGTGGTAATGTCAGATCTGTGCCTTCTGGTATTGTGTGAAATGCTCAGTCTTTTGCCACTTAGGTCACCATCAATCCAGCACTGCTGTCCTATGCCCCCAACACTCAATATCATTCAGCTGACTTATATTTTGTCTCAGAAGGGAAAGGATAAAGCAGAAAGTAGAGTGACTCAATACTCTTTTGTAATGCAGGGAAAAGGATGGAACTGAGTTGAAACGGGAAGAGACATTCAAGTACCGGTTCAAGAAGGATGGGAAAAAGCATTACCTGATCATTAATGAGTCAACCAAAGAGGACAGTGGGCACTACACTGTGAAGACCAATGGTGGGGAGTCAGTCGCTGAACTGATCATACAAGGTGAGTTACAGGCAATGCCAGATAATTAGGGAGGTTGAAAAGTGAAAGAGGATTGAAGGTAACCTTCTCCACAACAGGATAAGAAGGTGAGCTAGTCCTTATGCCTAGAGAAAAATTAAACCATAGCCAGGGAAATTACCACAGAGGCCTCAGGGAGACAGAAAATTGTTAGGTCTATGTGCCGGATGTAATAAATAGCTAGGCACCTGTTGCAGTCAGGATATCAGTCCTATTAAAGCCTGCATACTGTGGAGTTCTCTTTCCATTTCATCTTTTAACAAACAGCATCCTCAGCTCTGGTTCTTTCTTTTCTTTAAAAGCAACATCAACATTTTACTGTACAAACCAACTTTTGACCTGTTGATGTTTATGTTCCTCCCACAACTCACAACCCTAGAGAAGAAGCTGGAAGTGTACCAGAGTATTGCAGACCTGACAGTGAAGGCACGGGACCAGGCAGTATTCAAGTGTGAAGTCTCTGATGAGAATGTGAAGGGAATCTGGTTGAAAAATGGGAAGGAGGTGATCCCAGATGACAGGATAAAGATTTCTCATATTGGCAGGTGAGTCCTGCTTCTGAAAGCTTGGACAGGATTCTAAAATCCTTTCTGGATAGTAATGAGGAAATGAATATAAGCCAAGATCCTATTCTGGCTTCAGCTAAAGGGAGGAAGTTGGAAGTTTCCTCCACACAACGAACATATATTATTCTAATCTTCTGTGATTTGCCTAGCTATATGCACGTGTACAGTATTGACATGTATGTAGTTCTGCAGGTGTGCATACAGTATATTGGTTTGTATCTATACAATGGCATCAGCACAGATTCCCAGCCCTTACTCTGCCTTTTCTTTTGGGGGACTAGTTTTTTTATATATATATGCGCACACACATTTAGATGAGTAAAATTTGCTAAATGGCCTAAACAACTTAGGGTCCTAAATCCTACAGAAAGTTAATGGGACTTAGGCTGCCAAAGGATTATCTGATGTGCTGTCTGCTATGTTTGGAAGAAGGGTGATGGTGAACAAGCCTGAGCTTTCTTTAACACAGTGTTGTTTGGATTTACAATATGTTTAAGAGGAATATGGTCATGGGTATGTTTGCCCTAGCATATTGATTTGATACTGGGAAAGTTATGGATGGTTCACTGTGTGATTCGTCCTAAAGCTCTCACTGTTTGCAGCAGTGTATCTGCTGATTAAAGTTAAGAGTTGTTTGATTGTGTGTATTTTCCAGAATCCATAAACTAACCATTGACGATGTAACTCCAAAAGACGAGGCTGACTATTCTTTTATCCCTGAAGGATTTGCTTATAATCTTTCTGCCAAACTTCGATTTTTGGGTAAGTGTTGTGGAATTTGGTTCTTAAAATGTATTGGGACTACAACATGCCTTAAAAAGAAGGAATTATCCACATATAAGCACTACAGGGAGCGATGGGACCAAATAATTTCATTGATTACACCAGGAAACCGTATGGAGATTTCCTTTTCTGGTATGAACATGGCACAACATGTAAATTTTCATGTAAATTCTGACAGTGTATCATCATGATTATTTGTATTGTAGAGCCCACAGTGTGTTAGGCACTTTAATACATAGGAAGAAATGGCCTTTGTCCACAAGAACTTACAAGCTAATGCACAATTCTGAAAGCGTTTACATATATGAATAATTAATTATGTGAATAATCTTACAGATGTCAGTGACATGGATCATCCCCTTTAGAAACTTGTACCTGAAAGGAGCCTCGTACGTAGCTCCTGTATGGCAGTGGCTCTCGTCCTTTTCAGACCACAGGAGGCCCCCGCTTTACAACAAACCGATTTACAACCCCCCTGTACTTACGACCTTTTCTGTAAGTGAAGACGAGGCCGAAATCCCCTGACTTATGTCCTGGGCCCCGCATTTACGACAGCATACGATGCCTGTCATAAATGCGGGCTCAAGTTATAACACCCACGACTTGCAACACTATTCCTGGAACTGATCGCACAAGTTGGGGGCAGCCTGTATTGTACATCTTGCAGGAGTCTGATTTATCTTGTGCACCCTCAGGTTTCACCTCACTTAAAAAATACTTGCATACAAAATCAAATATAAAAATATAAAAGTGTCAAAGCATGGTATTACTGAAAAAACTTACTGTTTTATTTTTACCATATAATTATAAAAGAAATAATTTGGAATATAAATATTGTACTTAAATTTCAGTGTATAGGCTATAAAGCAGTATAAACAAGTCACTGTCTTTATGAAATTTTAGTTTGTCTTGACTTCACTAGAGTTTTTTATGTAGCATGTTGAAAACTAGGTAAATATCTAGATGAGCTATGTACCTCCTGGAAGACCTATCCTTATCCCAGATGTACACATACTCTTTGCCGAGAACCACTGCTGTATGGACAGAAGTTGGGGGGCGGAGTAGTTTTTTTCCCTTGCACTGTTCTTCCTTTTACCAGACCTCAAGAAAGGCCTCTTTGCGCATTCAGGGTCTATAATGGGAGAGGAAGCTGAGACTGGGCAGCCTATCAGATCACACAGAGATTACTCACAAATGATAGTACAGTCCAATACTGTATTATATTTTTCTGTAGAGCTCAACCAAGGTGTCCCGTAAGCCTGAGGAATCTCATAAAAGTGCAGCCAGAAAGACCCTGGCCATGTGACTTTAATAGAGCCAAAGGTGAGGAAGGACTGAAGCCAGTATAGAGACACAGAGCCTCCATGTAAATGGATCTGGTCTTCAGTAGATCCCACTAGCATCCATCAGGTTTGGAGCAAGCCATGCAGCCTCTCCTGTGCAAGGGGGACTTCACCTAAACACAAGTATAGGGAGACATTTCCCCTTGTAGGTATTTCTACTCCCAGAAAACCTTCTCTATGGGTTATGCTGGAAGGTTTTCTTCTTGGTATGCGCAACATGTTTCACGTGGCATGTGACAAAAATTCATCACCAAATGTGATCAATTGGTTGGATCATTAGCTTCCCTGGCTTGGGCCGAGTACTGATAGGGAGCACTGGCAGACAATGACATACCACAATTAAGTGACTTGTAAAGTTATTCATGCAAAGTGTTTGCTGGGTTGGGTCCTAGAGGACAAAACACAAAAGAGGAGAAAGGATAGAAACAAAGTGATTAGGCTGAGGACTGGCACATGATATGTTTGTTTGTTTCTTTTAATATATATGTAAACTGCCCATAGTCACTATTGGTTTCTCTTTCAACCATGGGTTAGTTAGAACCTCTAAATATTTAACCCCTACACATACTATTGTTATTATGATTGTTATTATCCTAAACACTTTCCAAACTTTTTAAAAAGTTGTTTATATTCTATTTCAATTTTCCTACATTATTTTAATGTCATTTTTATGGGTCCAATCCTGCAAACACTAACATATTATGGCTTTGATCTTTCAAAAACATATTCATGTGATTATATGTACTTATTCACATAGTCCCGTGGACTTTTATGGGTCTACACATTTGAGCAACATTAAGTCTGTATGTGTTTGCAGGATTGGGGTCTTAAATCACTGCCAAAAAGATTACACATGGGAGTAAAGATATTCACATGAAAAAGTGTTTGCAAGACCCAGCCTTATTCTATTTTTTGTATTATTATTTTCTTATTTTTTTTATAAAGCCAGTTTCCAAAATATTATATATTCACCCATTGATTTACACCCACTAGAGATTATATTGTTTGTTTTTAAATTATTTTTGGTCTGCTGATTACACAAAGCTTAGCAATTCTCAGATCCATTTTTTTCCCTTTCCAGAGGTCAAGATTGATTTTGTGCCAAGACAAGGTAAAAACAAATATTCATTATTGAAACATGTGAGTAATATCTGAGAAAGTCATCTTGCATGATTTTCAGTAGCTCTTCAATTTTTAACATAACAGCTTAGAAACACCTCTCTTTTCCTGCAAAACATTCAAACCATGTTAAAAATATTTTCTTTTCTCCACTTTGACTATAGAACCCCCCAAAATCCATCTAGACTGCATGGGTCAAGCAGCCCCTGACACTATTGTTGTGGTGGCTGGGAACAAACTTAGACTGGATGTTCCCATATCAGGAGATCCAATACCCACTGTCATCTGGCAGAAAGTAATCAAGGTAAAGTGTAGTCTGACAATGTGGCTGAAGCAAAGAGGGCATAACAAATAATTTCTGTTCTTTTTCAAGTATGTTTTGAATTTCCAATTCAAACTTTTCCATATCTCTTCAAATGTAGAATTTCTAAACAAAGAAATTTCTAAAATAGCAGCAAGGAAGCACCTGGTAATTTAGTTTATTTAACTGTAGTCTTCTTGAATTGTGTTTATTCTCTGTGAGGGGAAAAGGATGTGTATGGTAGCCTTTCTTCCCATCTTTCTCTACTACACATCGGCATGGTCTCTGCATGCCTAGGAAGAGGACTGCCACTTCCAGATTACTGTCTTCTTACATCACAAGTGTCCACCCCTGTTTGTGAGTTCAAAAGCACTTGATGGTGGCAGCAGATTCCCCAAAATCCAGGTATTAGGATTTGGAGAGGGAGGTGAGATTTGTACCAAAGCCTGTAGAGATCAGGTTTTGGGGTTGCTTTTGCGGGACCCCACTTCTGCATTCATTGTGCTAGGGGTGGACACTTGAAACCAACCCCAGGGCACCCCAAGCTCTTTTCTCCAAAGAGCTTGAAAAAGAAAAAGAAAATATAAACTGCAGTCTGTGGCTGATATCCCTTAGTCAGAGGCATGCAGATCACACAGACAGATTGTCCAGGACACAGAAATGAACCAATACCAGGTTAATAAAAAAAAAGAAAGAACTTTTATTATCAAAACAATACTCCTGTTGCAAGCATAATGACTAGATGGAAAAAGTCACCAATTAATATACTCATGCAGACTTCCATGGGCCAAAACTTAGTTACAAAGGAGAGGAAACCCCATTTCTAACAGCACAGACATCAGATCCACAGTCCCACAACAGAAAATGGATTTATCTAAACTTTACCCTACTTACACATTCTGAAGAGTCTTTTTCTTGGAGACATGTCTTCTGTCTCCCTCAGTATCTAGAACAAACTGGCTCAGAGACAAAGGAGGGAAAAACCAAAAATTCCTTTGTCTCCGTTTGAAATCCCTATCTGCATTTCTATTGGCTGACTGATACCTGGCTAGGTACAGTTAACCCTTTAGTCCCCAGGCTGCTGCCCATGCCTCATGGTCATGACAACTCTGCGTTCAGTTCCTTCCATATTGCCAGCACCCACTCCGAACAACTTACGTTTTCCTTTGCAATCCAGAACTAAGAAATTTTCAGTGACAAGATGGAGAAGGATTTCAAACTTCTGAAATATTATTTTCTGATCACCAATCCACAAAACATCCAGAAAGCCCTTGCTGGAAAAACTATGCCCCTAACAAAACATGCAGACTTCATTATTTAAAATTAAAATTATTTTCCCAAATAACCTAAACCAGGCTTACCTCTTCCCCCAGCTCCACAATAGGTAGACAAGTGGCCCCACTCCTTCCCTGGGGAGACTAAAGCTCATACAGTCCCATGCTTCCCCCTCAAGCCAAGTGACTCTGTGGAAGAAAATCTTCTGGGAGAGATCACCCCAAAAGTTTACAAGAGCAGAATAAAGTAGCTGCAGCAGAGAACTTAGGATGAGATATAAAACATGAGTAGATAATTAGGGAAAGGAAGACTGTGAAGGGCCATGAAGGTGAGGACAAGAAACGTGAACTTGATGCAAAGGAAACATCATAAGTAGAGACATTTTAAAGGGTCAGTAGCATAACTTGAAGATTATCTAATTTGGCTGATATTAAAAGCCTGTAAAACAGGGCTACTCAACATGTGGCCCACAGCCCATTTATTTACTGTCCACAGTGTGGTTTGGGTTTACACAAGGCTCAACACATGGCCCGTGAGTGGGATCCTTTGAACATGGCTTCCACTGGGAACACGCCCCACAATGGTGAGATATATCCCAGGTGGGGTGAGCATTGAAAGACACAAGTGAGTGGGCTGGCTGGAACAGAAGGGTACATGGTATCAGCATTTTTAGCCTCCAGAGAGGAAGTGTCGGGGCATTGTGAGAAGTGCTTTCTATTCATGCCAGTCAGTGTGAAAGAAGCTATTTGCATATATTTGCATGTATATGCAACCACACTTAAGTTGCAGCCCCTAGGGCTTCCAAAATTGAGTAGTCCTGCAGTAAAAAATGTTTATAAATCCAATACTCCACTGATATAGAAAGTATGTTCTCTGTTTTGCACAGATGCATAAGACCACTAATCTATTAGGGTGTATCTACAAAGCAGCGCTATTTCAGAATAATGTCCATTATTCCGAAATAACAATGCGAGCGTCTACACAGCAAATCTGTTATTTCAAAATAAAGTTGAAATAACGGATGGCGTATTCCGACTTTTGTAAACTTCATTCCATGAGGAATAATGCCTATTCCAAAATAGCTACAGGCAGTCCCCGAGTTACGCAGATCCGACTTATGTCAGATCCGCACTTACGAACGGGGCTTTTCTCGCCCCGGAACTCGCGGACGGCGGGACCACCCAGATGCGCAGTGGTCCCGCCACCGCATCCTCCGGGGTGAGAAAAGCTGCTCCGGGTGTCCCTGGGCTCCTGGGGGGGTCCCCAGCAG